CCGCATGCATAGAAGGTTATTGAAAATACCATGGCTTGGGTCAGGTGCATCTTAGTCCTCTAAATGACATCTTTGCTCTTCAGCACTTTAAAGAGGTCTTGTGCAGCAGATTTGCCTAATGCAATACAATACATCGTTAGATTTCTTGACTGCTGCTTCCGTGAGTGTTGATAATTGAACCGAGCAAAATGAAGTCTTTGACAACTTCAATCTTTTCTCCATTTATATGGATGTTATTTATTAGTCCAGTGGTGAGGATTTTTGTTTTCTTTACATTGAAGTGCAACCTATACCAAAGGCTGTGCTCTTTGATCTTCATCAGTAAGTATTTTAAGTCAGTCCTCTTTGCTTTCAGCAAGCAAGGTTGTATCATCTGCATATCACAGGTTGTTAATGAGCCTTCCTCCACTCCTGGTGCCATGTTTTTCTTCATACACTCCAGCTTCTCAGATTACTTGCTCAGCATACAGAATGAATAGAAAATAGCTACCATTTATTGGAACTTGAATCTGTGCAGGACCATACGCTAAGCATCTGGCTTTGTGTCATCTCATTTATTCCTTACAGCCTATGAGATGGGCACTGCTATTACCTCCCTTACAAAGACAGAGGTTGAGATCCAGATAAGTCATCTATTTCACAAGGTCCCCTAGTTAGTGAGGAGCAGAGCTGGACTTGACCCCAGGTCTGTCCAAGTTCAAAGCCAACGCTCTTAATGATTTTCGACAAAGTGCCTAGGCACATTGCATGGGGAAGAGATAGTCTCTTTAACAAATGGTGCTGGCAGAACTGGAAAGTGATGTGTAAAAGACTGAAACAAGACATTTGCCTCGCGCCCTAAACAAAAATGAACTCAACATGGATTAAAGACCTAAATGTGAATCCCAAAATTATGAAGATCATCAGTGAAAAAATAGGGACAAACATGAGGGCGCTAATTCAGGGCATATACAGACTATCACACATTTTGAAAAGTACACAAACTAAAATAGACAAAATAGATGAGTGGGACATACTAAAAATTAAAGACTATGTGCATTATAATACTTCACCAAAAGAGTAAAAAGGGAACCCACAGACTGGGAAAAAAAATCTTTTGCAACAACATATCGGATTAGGGACTCATTTCTAAAATATATAGGAAAATACTACACATCTATAAAAATAAGACAAAGCCAATGCTCTTCACCACCAAGCTGAGGAGTGCCTTTGTGTAAATTGGAGATAATAAGAGCTCCCACATCAATGGGTTATTGCAAGGATTACACAAGCTAAGATGTGTGAAGCCCTTGTAACAGCCCCTGGCACAGCATATGGCTCAGTATGTGTGAGTCTGGTCAGCTGCATTAGCATTATTCCTACCTCCAGGCAGACCTGCAAGATCACACTCAAAAAAGCTAACAGTGTCAAAGGAGAAGAGCAGAGTGTGGAGTGCGGGACCCTATCCAGAGAAGCAGTGACACCAGAGATGGAGGCAGAGACAATGACGTGGAATGATGAAGCGGCTGGGGACTCTGGGCTCAGGGAGGGAGAGGGGCTGTGTGCTGACGGCGGGGGGGGGGGGGGGGGGTGGGCAGGCTTGCAGGGTGTACCCTTTGGTTGTTTGATGATGCATGGAGGGGATTGTAACCATTGCAATGAAATGCAATACGATATGATGACTGTAAAGCTGATGTTCTCCCATGTAAACGATCTCTCAATTCACAATAAAAACTTTAAAAAAAAAAAAAAAAGGTGAACCGTGTGTGTCTGCTGTGAACATCATGCTTTCATACAGAACCACCTATATTGGATCAAAATGACAACAGCCAACGTGAAAAGTGGGATAATAAATATAGAGGGCAGTTAGTTTAGGTTAATGGGAGAGGGAAAAGAGGGTGAGAATGGTCACACAATGAAGAATGTCATCTATATCGCTGAACTGTGCATGTAGAAATGGTTGAATGAGTGTATGTTCTGTTTGTATTCTCAACAGCAACAATAATTTCATTTTTTGAAGTCAACAGTGGTCTCCTCTTCATCCTTGAGACATGATCCTAATCCCTTCTATTTTACCTTTCCACTTTTGCTTTTCTAGTTTTTCCACAATGATCAAGTATTACTTGTGTGGGTTTTGGCGGGGGGGGGGCAGGTTTTAACTTTCTTTTTAAATTCTTGTACAGTGGTGCACTCAGTGGGTCTTGAGGTAGGCTGATCCTGTGTCCCAGTTTCCTCCCAGGTGTCCCCAAGGTTCGGCACAGAACAGATCCAGTACAAGAGCCCCTCCCAGCACAAGTGCTGTAGCCACATGCTTAGCAGGGCTGAGAATAAGAAGGGAAACATGGATCAGTGCCAGGAGTGGGCCCAGGCTAAGCCTGTCCTTTGCTGGCAATCCCCAAAAGCACAGCGAGATGCCTCTGGGATTTGCCAGACCCCAGGGGAGCGGTGGGAGCAGCCGCGATGCATGAGACCTCCGGCCCTGAATCCATCAACAGCTGTGACCACTTCAGCTATTTTAAACCCTTGGGCACCAGGAAGCTCCTGTCACATCCAACCTCGAGGGCCCTAAGCCAGGAGCAGGAGCCCTGAGTGTCGGTCAGCCAGGCCCAGACTGGACTCTCTACAGGGAGGGGTCTCAATTCTTGAATATTTACCATGTACCAAACACTGTGCTGGTGTTTCCCATACTTTGTCTCACTTAGCATCTTTGCATCTATGCTGAAAGACTAATCATTGCAGGTGAGGAAAATGAGACTCAGAAAGGCGGGTGGATGGTCCCAGGCTGCACAAAGGCTAGGCTGAGTCCAGCCACTCCATGTCCCCATCTCTGAAACAGGAGATGACATTCCTATCTGTCTTCAGTCCACATTACTCATACCTCCCTGGGACAGCGGTGCAGGTTCCAAGCCTGGCTCTACTGCTCCTATAAGCTATGAAACAGAAGGCAAATTCTTTGCCCTCTTCAGCTTACTTTCTTCATCCGCAAAGTGGCAGGGTTACTGAAAGGGGATAATGACCTAATTCTAAGGCATGAAAAGAGCTGGCCTGGAGCAGCGCCTGGCATGTTGAAAGCACAACATAAGTGCCCTCTGTCCTTTATTTTTCTCCTGGAATTCATCACCTTATGTCTGACATTATCATTATATTCTCTGCTCTTCTGATGACAAGCGTCTCTTCCCCACATATTCTGGTCGGAATTTTCCCACCATGAAATGAGGGAGTTCTGTTATAAAGCCCCAAGGAAGGCAGGGATTCTGATAGCGCCTAGTACCTGCCACACAATAGGAGTGCAAACAGTAAGTTGGGCAGAGTGGAACCCAGACACCCCTCCATCTCTGAAGCTTTGAGGTCAGACTACAGTCACATGTATTATCGCCCCCCTTTGGCAGGTCCTATGTTCGAGCTATATTTCGAGCTGGTGTCCTGATGGCACTGTGCGTTAATGCACTGGACTGCAAAGTCGGCTTGAACAGCAAAGTCAGAGGTTCAAGCTCACCAGCCACTCCTCGGAAATCCTATACAGGGTCACTATGGGTTGGAACCAACTCGACGGCACTTAACAACAATGTTGGAGCTGATGTGAAGATGCTCCCAGTGGGTCCCTGAAGTCAATCAGGAGTGACCTGCCTCACCCCGGGTCTGTGTGCATTTCAGAGTCACATACCCCCTGGACAGTCCCCTCTCCCACATCCTCCCACACCATCTCTAGGAGCTAAACTCTTCTCTACCTCCTAATTTAAACTGTTCCAGAGGCCACTGGGGTCAGGGATCCTAGGTACTTCTAAGCTTCGTCCCTCCTTGCTCAGGTGCATCCTGCCCCGACCCATGCTCCCAGCCCCACATCAGTACTACCTCCTTCCCAATCACCCCCCCTTCCACCCCAGCCCTCTTCCTTCACAGTGTCTGCCTACCAGAAACCCTTCCCTCTGTTCATACATCTGAACAGCCCCTCAACTGGCTTCAGAGCCAGCAAGGCCTGCAATGGGGTGGCCAGAACCAACCCCCATTGATGTCATCCTGCACCTTGGCTTCCACAGGATACAAACTGGTAACTGCAGTGGTGGCCCAGAGGAAAATACAGACCTCAGTTCTCTCCCTGGCTGTCCCTCTCCTCTTGCAGCATGCCAGTCTCCAGGTGGCCCCAGTACCTTAGTCCATATATCCCGGACAGATCAGTGCCCTCCTCTCCATCTCGCTCATGCTGCTTCCCTCTCCCCCCACCTTCCCACTTGGCCTACCCTACCCCTACCCTCCGCCCCTTGTCTTGATTGCTTCTCCTCAGCTCAGTGTCCTTACTGGAACCTCCAGCTCTGACCACAACACTACTCCTGAGGATAGAAACCCCTCCAAGTTTTCCATCCCCACATACCCATCCAGTGTTTGACTGGGCATTCTAGACCTGTTGGCAACTGACTTCTCTATCCCCTCTTCTCTCCCCATTTTCTGCTTGGTGTTGATTCTGATTGTTGGTGTCGAAAAGAGACAAGAGAAAGGAAGGAAGCGAGAACAGTTTAGCAAACGTCTCCCTTAAGATTCGGTTTCTTCTCAGGAAGCCTTCCCAGACGCCCTGGCTAGGTTAGGGCACCCCCTCTGTGTTCCCACCAACTCCTGTCCACACTCTGTAAGGCAGGTTCACATTTTCATTGTCTACCCCTAGTGGTTGGGAGCGCGGAGTGGGGCTAGGCTCCCACTGAAGATTTGTTGAATGAATGAATGGATGGATGGATGGATGGATGGATGGATGGATGGATAAGCAAACCAACGCGGAAAGGAGGGAACTAGCAGCTACCAGCTACTCTGGACGCGGGGGGAGGGGTGGGGTTGCTAGTCTAGGGGCGTGGCCACGCTGACGGACAGGCCCGTGGTCCACTGCGAGAGGAGTGCGGCGGGTTGCCCCACCCCGTCGGGAGCAGGATAAGGTGGCGCTCTGGGCAGCAACTGGCGCAGGCAGCTGCAGCGGGTGCACCTGCTAAAGGTGCCTAGGTGAGGACCCAGAGCCGAGAGAGGCCAGGACCGGCACTTCAGGGAAGATGCTGCGTGAGCGGACCGTGCGGCTGCAATACGGCAGCCGCGTGGAGGCGGTGTACGTGCTGGGCACCTATCTCTGGACCGATGTCTACAGGTAAGCGGGCCTCCGCGCCAGCCCGAGACACCCCGTCCGATCCCGGGATTCAGACCCAAGATCTCGCCCCCAGAAATCCTGGGAGCCCATGCACGCATGCTGAGATCATCCCCGGATTTGGGGAGGTAGACAAGTCTTCTTCCGGCCCAAACTGTCCTTCGTTACGAGGCCCCGTGCTCAGAAATCCTGATAGCACCACCCAGAAACCCTGAGAGCCCCCAAGCATTGTGTCAGCCTCCCTAAAATCCGGAGACCACCCCCACAGACGCTGACACCCTTTCCCGTTCCTCTTCCCCTTCACTCACTCCCCACGAACCCCGCTTCCCCCACCACCTTCTCCCCTTCCGCTTCCCGGCTCTCCCTACCCCTCAGATCCTCTGACTCACCACCACCCAAGTCCAGCCTGCCCTGCCTCCACCGTCCACTCAGTGCAGTGGACCTTTAATGGTGAACAGTCTAGGGCAGTGGGGAGCTGCGCTGGGGCGATATCTGACCCCGGGGCTTGATTAAGCTCCGACTTCGCCCTGGGAGTGGGGCTGCAGATGATGCCTGTCCCCAGACACTGGCCATACACTTCTTGTCCCCAAATTCCTTCCCCTGACTTTACCCTGAGCTCAGAGTGAGGCCTTGTCCCACCAGGCTGAGGCCTGAGACTCCAAGGGCTGTGATGGGGTTCTTATCAGTAAAGCAAAGGGACCCCGACTCTTTATCTGTAGCCTTGGTGGAAGGGGGGAATTACAGGATTTCTAATAGAGTAGGGCATGGGGTGGGGAGACAGAGGTCAGAGCCCCACCACTACCCACAGCCCACAGGATTCAGCCAAGTGCACTGACTCACCTCCCTGTAGTGTGGGGAGCTGGCTTGGTGAAGGTGCCGCTGGTGTGAATGAAATGGTGGACAGAGCCCAGTTTGGATCATGCTGAGGTTTTACCTGCCCAGGCTCTATTCCAAGCTTTTGAAATGTTGCCCAAGGCTGATGTGGGAGGGGAGAGTACCAGGGGATGAGACATGCAGGACTCTCAGGTGAAAGAGGATGCTGGTAAACGCTACCTCTCTGTGCCTTGAGCTGAGCTCACTGTAGGGGCCGACATGCTAGGCCCCCACATGCTCTCCAACCACATTGTCTCAATCACCTCCTAAGTCCCTGACAACCCTGCCCAGCCATCTCCTGCAACCCCCACTGAAGACAAGGACCAGGCTGATGCCACCAAGCCCCAGGCCTCCCAGAGGGCAAGGACTGGGCCACCCAGCTGGGACCCTGGGACTCCATCGTCCAACCCTGGCCTCAGGTGCCCCACAAGTAAAACTCAGGGTGGACTGGGTGGTCTCCAGGGTCATAACAGCAATGGAGTGTAACCCAGACCCCCATGGACTGCCCTAGCTTTCCCACCCCCCCAGCTCTGTACTGAGAACTGCTGGGGAATGGGCTGTCAGCCAGGGCACTGAGGCTTCTAAGCCTCATCTGTCACCAGACCCGACTGTTTATTCACTGGGGCATATTTGGTACAGTCTGCAAGACTGGCACTGTGTCAGATCCTCCATCTGAAGATGGGACAGGCACACTCAGGTCTTCTGTCCTGGCACAAAGAGCCCAGCCAGGTGAGGACAGGACTTGAGGGAGGTGTGGGAAGGTGGCAGAGGAGTGACAGTTGGTTGCCTTTGTCACCCTAGGCCCCACCTCCACTTAGGATTCCTCACCATCACCACCATCAGAGGCAGTCTGGACCAGTACTGCCCAAAAGAAAAAATGTGAACCACATATGTCAAATCTGTCATTTCAAATTATAGCTACAGTTGTTTAAAAACTTAACCAGGTGAACTAAATATGAATAATATACTTTATTTAATCCAGAACAGCATATACCCTTTTATTGACTTGACTTTATTGTAGTTCGCGGGTACTGTGTCTTTTACTAGTTTAAGGTTTGTGGCAACCTTGTGTCGAGTAAGTCTATAGCACCATTTTTCCAACAATATATGCTCACTTTGTGTCTCTGTGTCACATTGGTAATCCTAAAAATATTTCAAACTTTGCACACCTAGTAAACTATGACATAAATGTAATTCTATATGCATTATTATTGGTGGTGGTTATGTTCCATGGAGCCAGTTCCAACTCATAGCCACCCTGTACAGTGTTTCCTAGGCTGTAAATCTTTACAGGAGCTGAAAGCCTCATCTTTTTCCCACGGAACAGCTGGTAGTTTCGAACTGCTGACCTTAAGGTTCACAGCCCGATTCGTAACCACTACGCTACCAGAGCTCCTTATTGTTGTTGGTTGTCATTAATATACCTCTAACTCCTAGTGACCCTTTACATAAAAACAAAATATTGCCCAGTCCTGTTCCTCATAATAGTTATATTTAAGCCCATTGCTGAAGCCACTGTGTCAATCCATCTTATTAAGTAAGGGTCTTCCTCTTTTTCGCTGCCCCTCACTTCACCAGTGGTGTCATTCTCCAAGGCTTGGTCCCTCCTGATAACATGTCCAAAATACGAGAAACCAAGTCTTGCTGTTCTTGTTTCTAAGAGGCATTCTGGTTGTACGTCTTCCAACACAGATTTGTTTGTTCTTCTGGAAGTCCATAGTACTTTCAAAATTCTTCACCAACACCATAATTCAAATGCATCAATTTTTCTAGAGTTTTAAAGAGGTCTTATGCAGCATATTTGCCCAATACGTCATTTGATTTCTTAATTGCTACTTCCATGAGCATTGATATTTGGATCCAAGTAGAATGAAATCCTTGACAAGTTCAATCTTTTCTACATTTATCATGATGCTGCTTATTGGTCCAGTTGTGAGAATTTTTGTTTTCTTTATACTGAAGTGTAATCCATACTGAAGGCTGTATTCTTCGATCTTCATCAGCAAGCGTTTCAAGGGCTCCTCACTTTTAACAAACAAGGTTGTGTCATCTGCATATCATAAATTGTTAATGAGCCTTTCTCCAATCCTAATGTCATGTTCTTCTTCCTATAGTTCAACTTCTTGAATTATTTGTTCAGCTTACAGATAGAGAACTATAGTGAAAGGGCGCAACCTTGGCACACACCTTTCCTGATTGTAAACAATTCATTCAGTATCTCCTTGTTCTGCTCAAATGACTCCCTCTTGGTACCGGTTCCACATGAGGACAGTTAAGTGTTCTGGAATTCCCATTCTTCACAATGTTATCATCAGTTTGTTATTATCCACACAGTAGAATGCCTTTGCACAGTCCATAAAACACAAGTAAACATCTTCCTGGCATCTTCTGCTTTCATCCAAGGTCCATAGGACATCAGAAGTGATATACCTCATTCCACATCCTCTTCTGAAACCAGCTTGAATTTCTGGCCGCTCCCAGTCGATGTACTGCTGCAACTGTTTTTGAATTATCTTCAACAGAAATTTACTTGCCTGTTACATTAATGATATTGTCTCATAACTTCTGCATTCTGTTGGATCACCTTTCTTTTGAATGGGCACAAATATGTATCCATTCCAGTCAACTGACCAGATAAGCTGTCTTCTGAATTTCTTGACCAAGACTAATGAGTGTTTCCAGCCCTCCATCAGTTTGTTGAAACATTTCAATTGGCATACTGTCAATTCCTGGAGTTTTCTTTTTCACCAATGCCGTTGATTCACACTTGGACTTCTTCCTTCAATACTATCAGTCCTTGATCACACACTACCTCCTGAAATGGTTGAATGTTGACCAGTTCTTTTTTGTTAGAGTGACCCTATGTGTTCCTTCCATCTTCTTTTGATACTTCCTGCATCATTTAGTGTTTTGCCTGTAGAATCTTTCAATACTGGAAGTTGAGACTTGAATTTTCTCTTCACTCTATTAACTCAAGAAATGTTGAGCAGGTTCTTCTTCCATTTTGATTTTCGAACTCCAGGTCTTAGCATATTTCATTTCTGTTCAACTCTTTTACTTCCTCATTTCTTCCATTCACTTTAACTACTCTACATTCAGAGCAAGTTTCAGAGTCTCTTTTGACTTCCACTTTGTTTTTTCTTTCTTTCCTGTCTTTTTAATGTTTTTGTTTTCTTCATGTATAGTGTTCTGACATCATTCCATAACTCCTCTGGTCTTCAGTCATTAGCGTTCAGATCTGTTCTTGAGAAGGTCTCTAAATTCAGATGGGATATACTCAAGGTCTGTCTTTGCTCTTGTGGACTTGCTTTAATTTTCTTCAGTTTCAACCTAAACTTACACATGAGCAATTGATGGTCTGTTCCACAGTCAGTCCCTGGCCTTGTTTTGGCTGATAATATGGAGCTCTATGTGCTGTTATTAAGTGCCGCCAAGTCAGTTCCAACTCATAGAGACCCTGTATAGGATTTCCGAGGAGAAGCTGGTGGACTTGAACTACTGACCTTGTGGTTCAAAGTCCAGTGTTGTTCCTACAGCACCACACCAGGACTCCAAAAAATGTGTACGACTCACTTTATTGCAGGGGTCTGAAACCAAACCCATAATATCTCTGAGCTATACCTATGTTTCCAATTCTTATCATTTCAATATATAGTCATTATAAAAATTATCAATGAGATTATTTAATTCTTGTTTTCATATTATGAAGTCTTTGAAACCTGGTATATCTGTCACTAAGAGGCCTTCTCAGTGAGGACTGAGAGGGTCATAGAATGAATGGTGTCTGCAGGTTTGTCTACCCGCCCCACCCACCTCTTAGCATGGGGCTCTGAAGCATGGGGCACCACTAGGGTCTGAGAGTGAGTAGCCTTGGAATAAAGTAGGGGAATGGTCAGGTTCTGCAAGCTTGCCCACTGACCCACAAACCCGGTCTTGGAGCCAGTCTCTCCTTTCCCCGCTGCATCAGTTTGTATATCTGGATAAGTTTGGTGTATGCTTGTCCTCCTTGCTGTTAGAGAGGAGGAAAGGATTTGGTCCTGAGCTTGCAGGAACTTCAGGCCCAGGGATGATACTAGCAATTGTCTCTTGCCTTTGCAGAGTGGTCCTCCAGTTACACAGGGTTTTCATTT